TTACAGATTGTGTTTTAAATCCAAAATAGTTCAGATGCCAGTGAGGAAAGTTGAAGACAAAACTCCCAGTTGGGCGATTGATACTTGCCATGACCGAAATCTTTCTGCGGTGTCTGGTTTTCATGTTCCAGGAAGACTGTCTCATACACTGGAAGTAATAAATATATTTCCTGCCTTCGGAACTTATGGCAAAGCAACTTTGAGGCAAGCCAATGCACGGTCACATTTGAAGGGCTGAATCAACTTATGGTTCTAAACTGGCAGGTGGTTTTGAGCAGTTCATGAGGGATTTAGTTGGTGTGGTGCAAAATGCAGCCTCCAGGTCAATGATAGTTGGATAAGCAGCAATTAATAACCAATAACCAATAGCCAATACTGTTACCCTTATTTATGATAGATAATACCATTCTTTTTGAGTTGTCCAAATGAAATCAATTAAAATACTCTCAGGTTGAAGACATATTTTCTGTGAAGTAAAGGGATGATAAAATTGGCCTCATGCAATGAGTCAGATGTTTTGGTCTTTGTCAGGAAACAGTATCAGAACAAATGCACAATTACTAAGGGCACACCCCCTCCCCTGCCCAAAACCCAACATCCTAATTTTTGAATGTGTTTTTAGATTTTCTATTATTTTCTAGAAATATTCTACCATGGTATATGGCTTGCTTCTGTTCCCACTGAAGTAAATAGCAAAATTGCCAGTGACTGATGGAAAAAGCCCATGAAAAATGTCTCAAAAGCATTGGTTTCATTTTGGTAAATTGAATTTGTTGGCCAAAAAATTAGATTTATAATTGTTTGCTTCAATCTTAGTTACAGAGAGACTGGTGTCTCTTTACATCAATTTCACTACATTTATTCCTTCTAATGTGCTCTAAAAAAGATGTGTTACCCAAATTTTAAGCCAAAATTGGAAGATAAGCTCTGAGCAATACAGGGAAACAGAATCCAAATTCGATATGCAAGAACAGTAACAAAAAGCTCGATGCTAGCTCTTGCTAGTTTGCATTAATATTTTTGTTGTGCTTACAATACTTGTTTTCTCAAATATCCCACTTGCCTTTTTTTGACTTTTAACCCTGACTTGTTTCTCTGTCAGAAACTTCTATGTATAAGTAATAGCAATTTTGTATTGAAGTTATTGTTGCTGTTAAATAGGGCAAGAAGAAAAGTTTGCTTCTTGTAGCGTGAAAGGGGATGGTTTACTTTTATATATCTTTTTTGGGAGACTGCTTTCAATAAATCAGTGTGGTCTGAGCAAGTTGTTGGTTAGGTTCAGCTCTTAGTGCTTGGGCAATGCCACAGAACCACTGTGGAGTTTGGCTCAGGTGTAAGCCACTATTTTATTTTTTTTAAATACCTTGCAAAAGAAAAAGCCCATACTTCACAGAATCTCAAATCTGGCAAATATTTACAGAACTGTTTTTCCTGTGTACCACTTGCTATCATTGTGTTTGCTTCTTACAACAGCACCTACGCTTCCCGAAACCCTTAAAAACACACTTGAAGTGCTAGATCACTGTCCTCCTGTGCCAATACTAAATATAAATTTTTCCAGATGAGTCAACTAAGTGAAGATCGGATGTTTTAAAAAGGGCTTGATTTTCGTTTGCCCAAAGGCTGCTCTGCTGAAAAATTTTCAGTGACCTCATAGCTGAAAGTGACTGCAAATTTGTCCTTTCAGCTGTTAAATAACTCAACTGTTCTGTACAGCTTTGTGAACTAGGATTATAATTTTTGTGTTCTGTTTTTTGTAATTTGATTTTTGATTTATATGAAAATTGCATAGACCTTGAGTTATCACTGTTGGTACACCTCATTGGCTAAAATTTGCCTAATGCATTTCTAGGATATGAAAATGCTGTTAAACGAGATCAACAGTCCCTGGTATGCTAGGATAGAAGGAAATGCCTCTCTCTGGGTGCAACTTTATAATGTTTTGTCTCTGAAGTTCTGAAACAAATGTGCCATGCAGCTTGCTTGTTTCTTCCTGCAACCTCTGTCTTCTTGTAGCTGGCTCTAGCAGCTCCAGCACAATGCATCTTCCTAGGCTTCTGCTAGCAGGAACTTGTCATCCTGAAAACAATAGAGAATTTGCCAATATGTTCAGGCTATGTGGGCAGCTTTTCCTGATGGAACAGCTGTGTCCTCCCAGTCATGCCACTGGGATGCTGTGTGGGCTCTGTGGATATTATGTGGGATCTATAATTCTATGGGAGACTCCTTGATGAAGGTGGAAGCTCATCCATAAGATATAGATAAGATTTGTACTTGCAAAAGTGCTGATAACTAATAAAGTGAAGTCATTCCACTTTCCATAGTACAGCCAGCAGAAAAGGTGTCTGTCACTTACGAGTCATCACAGATCTCAGCTCCAGCAGGAGGGTGTTTGTTAGGGTGCAGTATTTGGAAGTTGGTGGCTGCAAGGCACAATGTAATTATTTAGCTGCCTCTGTATGAGTATCTGGGTTCAGGATGATATTCTTGCATGGATATCTGTTGTGATTGCAGAAGCCAGACCTCCGTCTTCAATATGTCATATTTTCTTGAGCCTGCAGTCAAGTCTGAGTGTTGGCTAATGTATTTTTGTCCTGATCTCATTTAAAAGGACAGCACCCTTCTCCACACTCATCTAAAGCTAGCTGTGCTCTGCTGACCCTTGGTGTGTTGTCATCACAGTGTATGTGGAAGGGCACCATTTCAAAGTTAGAGAGAGGGTGGTGGAGAAGACAGATGCCAGCTTCAAGTAGATGACATCATTCAGGGAGTGATTTTATCTAAGGTTAGTGGAAGATCAGACAGTATCTATCAGCTGAAGCAAGATCAAAGTAATCTGTTAAGCACTGAGACCTATAACTCTGTTCCTGAACTGTCATAGAATCATAGAATCATTTAGGTTGGAAAAGACCTTTAAGATCATCCAGTCCAAACATTAACCTAACACTATCAACTCCACCACTAAACTAATTAAGGGTAAAGTAGCAATTTCATGTTTCCTGGCTTGGTGGCTAGATTATTTATAATGAAAGTAAAAACTAGGAGTCATTAAGATTGGAAAGGACCTCTAAGATCATCAGTCCAATCAGCAACGCAACACCTCCATGATGTACTGGTGATGTGCTTGCAACATTTTGGTAGCGTTTGGCAGGTAGCGTTTGACTGTTTAGTGACACAAATATCCTCTGCGCTGCTCTAAGTATCTATTTTTGTGTGCTCGAGTGGAAATTAAAGGTTTGGGTAGAGAGAAGTCAGTGAGAGGAAGCATCTAATACTTGCAAAGAGGTAATACGCATAGCAGTGGCTGAGTAAACAGGAAAAAGAATGGCCCCTGTAGCTGTGGTGGGTTAGCCCTGGCCAGCAGCTAAATGCCTACCCAGCTGCTCACTCCCCCCTGCATCAGTGGCATGGGGGGAGAAAATTGGATGAGAAAGCTCGTGGGTCGAGATAAAGACAGGGGGACTGCTTATCAATTACTGTTGCAGGCAAAACTCAGCTTAGGCAAAATTAATTTATTGCCAATTAAAATAGACTTGGGTAGTGAGAAATGGAAGACATTAAAACAACACCTTTCCTCCCATTTTTCCCAGGTTCAAGTTCACCCCTTCGTTCCTGACGCCTATAGTGGCCCCCCGCCCCGAATGGCATGGGGGGCGGTGGTGTTTGTGGTCCGTACGTAGCTGTTTTTCCTCACCACTCCTGCCTTCTCACACTTCTCATCTGCTCTGGTGCGCGTTCCCCATGGGCTGCAGTCCTTCAGGGAAGAGTCTGCTCAGCGTGGGTGCTCCATGCCACAGGCCGCAGTTCCTTCAGCACTATCCATCTCCTCCGTGGGCTGCCAGGGATTCTGGGCTCTGGCAGCTGGGGCACCTCTTCCCCCAGCTCCTCCTCTGACCCTGGTGTTCACAGGGTTCTTTGTCACTTGCTTTGTTCCTCCTCCTCTGCCTCTGTGGTGCTTTCTGCCCTTTCTTAAATATCTTTTCGCTGACAGGCTCAGCTGTGCCCTGCGGTGGGGCCATTGTGGAGCCGGCTGGCACCAGCGGGGTCCAGCTCCGGGGAGCCTCCCCCTCCCCTCGCAGAGGCTGCCCCTGCAGCCCCGCGCTGCTGGGCCTGGGCGCTGCACCCAACATGGCAGCCCAGAGTCCCTGAGTGAAGCCCTGGGTAGCTCCTGCCTTCATCAGTACGTTTTTTTTGTACCTGGGATTCAACAAATACACTGAAGCTTTTGTCCAGATGAAGAGATTAATACCCTCTGGCCGCAGTCTTGTGGCTGAAAGCATTTTCTGGTCAAAACATTTTGTATTATCTTTCAGTCATCTCTGAGAGCAAGACGTGAGCATGCGGCGAGCTTTGCGCCATCTCAGAGGTGCTGATTCGTGAAACTGGGTTGTCCACGCCTTCAGTGAGGCCACCGTCTTTGAAAGAGGGACCTGCTTTTAAAAACCAACTTGCAGAGTCTTAACCTAGCTGCAGGGTTTTTAAGAAGTACTGACTATAACGGGGTGTTTACTGGTATTTGTGTTGCACAGGAAGTCCTAAGGAGTTATTTGATAATGTTATGATACTATGCAAGATGGGATATCAACCCCTTGTCAAGGAACTGTAAACTTTGCCTGAGAATTGCTGTAAATTCCTTAAGCCTTTCTGTAGGGGTTTTTGAAATAATGTAATACCACTTTCATCTTCTGTGAGAATGCAGAACAATGTATTTGTGTTTGTACTGGGTAGTTGTTAGGAAGGGAAGTAAAAAACTGGGAGATCTGTTGGATTAAACAGTGACTGTCAACAGATTTCTTTGCTGCAGAGCTGCTTTGGAGTGAGGGTGTATTCATCCACTCTTTCTTTCACATTTTTCTTTACTAAGGTGCAGTTCAGCTGAGATTGAATTCCTCTTTGGCTGTCTATCAACTGTGAAACAGAAGGATGCAGAAGACTATCCCTTGCCTTTTTGTATATGACTGATAAGAGCACAAGATCATTACTACAAGTTTGCTGCAAAGATGAGCTCAGAGGAGAAGAGTATATCTCCAGCTCACAAAACGTCCACTCCATCACATAGAAGTGCCTCCTCTTCATCATCATCTCAGAGGGATAGGAGGCAGGTAAGAAAAAAGATCTAGATGTTTGTAACATCTGGTGGAATGATTCATTTATTCCTGTAATGTGGCCATTCGTTCTCGGTAGCTCTAAATTCACTTTCTTATTGCAGTGGATGATATCACTATAGCCAAGAACTGTTGATTTTTTAAAATTTTTTTTTTCCACTTTGTAAAGTGGTTTGAAAAAGATTCAGAAGCAACATGGGCACTATGTGTAGCACTGGAGTGGGAAGGATATAATCACGTGGACAAGTAGGAAACACACGCTGAAGACTTTTGGGAAGTGGTTTCTTTGGCAGCATGAACCTGCAGTTGCTTCAAATTGTTTTGTGTCCTCTGGGGATATCTCTTTGTAAATCAAACTACAGAGATGTATTAGCTATTTACAAGGTGATATTTCAATTCAATTTAAATATCATATTTTTTATCCAGTATGTAAACACCTAACATTTTAAATATTATTTGGCTTACTACAAATTTACAGTGATTGTCCCATGTCATATAGTACTAGTCCAGTTATGTTAGACTTCAATTTTCAAGAGACCCTTGTGTATGTAGATGTAATACGTCTTTTCTTCAGGATCCCTTTGAGATGAGGGCTGTATTATTTCCACGCAAAACAACTTAGTCATTCCTGGGGTTTTTTTGAGGGCTGGGTGTACAGTCTGGCCCCAGCATCAGTGGGAGCACTTCAGAAAGTATCAGAACTACCCACTAGATTTCAGATAGCTTGCTACATGTATTTTTTAAAATGTAAAGGTTGATACTGAAAATTTGATTAGAACAGAAACATACTTTAAAACTTTGATCCATGGAAACCTTGAACACTAAATCAGCTTCTGTGTTAGTTTAACATCATCATGTTTTAAAAAAAATGTACAAAATGTAAAAATATAACAACTTTATAATTTAAAATATTGTGAAAATATTTTCATTAATGTAATACTGGCTTCTTTTCAGCCTGACGAGGAAAAGAGGCAAGAAAATGCCTTAAGAAAAGAACTTAAATAATTGTTTGCTGTGGTATGCATTTACTTGAATGTCTGTAGCTTAAGAACATTTTCCTAGCTTCTTGTATGCCAGCTGTGACACTATTTTCTCAGCTGCTGCTGAAGTTTTTTTTTTCCCTTACCTGACTTATAAAAATTTTGAAAACTGAGAATTTTGTTGAAAACTGTAACATTTACAGCTTTGAATGTAAATAGTCTCACCATAAGGTATGTTTAAAATGTTAAACTAGGAGAAGGATTCTGATATGTGTTTGGTAACAGGCAGGAAATGTGTCTGGAATTTTTTTTTAATCATTTCCATTGCTTTTCAGTGAAGCCAAAAATGATGTTCTCACAGGTGATAAATACTTTCCCTTTCATGCTGTACAGGATTTGGGATAGCTGTACTCAGTTAAGTCCTGGTTAGCATATGATGTCCTCTTAATTTTTCATTAGTTCCATCTGGAGCAAGAATTTTGACATCTTTTGTTTAAAGCATCAGTATATTTTATCTTCTGCATTTAAAGGTGAATGCAAGACTTGTAGGAGCTGCTGAACTCAGCCAAGAGCATATCCTCTGAGTTCTCTTTGTAATTAGGTAGTTTGGTATGATCATGCAAGTAACAATGAAAAAAATCACCTTTTGGGAATACATTTTACCATAAATCTAATGGCTGCCGTATCTGTTACTATAGCAACAGGGTAGAGCAAGGTATACCTGTCATCATAATGAAATGGATGCTTAACTTAAGTCCATATTTGGTCACTGAAATGTGAAGCATGATTTTAAAATAATGCTGAAGAGGTTGATGGTGTGATACATCCAGAGCTCTCTTGGATCTAATAATGCCTGATGATGCTTAACAAGTATATTTAGGCATGTAAATGTGGACTGGAATGGCTACTGCTAGGCATTCATTATTTTGCCTTAGTGCTTTCAGTGTTAAAAGCAGAAAAATATCCAGGAGAATAAATGGATGGGCAATTTCTTCTGCAGTGAAACTGAGCTACAGTGTGCAACACAGTGTGAGGTGCAATGGTACTATATCCAGGGAAATAAACATGCAAATGTTTCTTTGTGCATGTAGACACACTAAATCACCCAGGATCTTCATACTGTCTACTATAACAATTGTATTTCTAATTTCTTTTGTTGCTTATGGCATTATGTGTATATGTTTTGGGTTTCATAGGCTTTCCCCCAAATGCAATGATAGCTAAGGGGTAGGGGATTTTTGTTCAGGAGCTGCTGGGTTTTACTTTGAAAAGGCTTGAAAATTCTGTCTTGCTGCCTCCTTGGACTCTTCATAGCAGCTAGGAGAAAAGCACCCTTCCTGAAGGGGTAATATGTACAGATATGGAAAGTGATGTGACTGGATGAAGTGTCAATGTAGCTTTCATTGTCATATGTGAGGATAACACTTAATATTTTTAGATGGTTAATGACGGAAATCTTCTCATCATATAATTCTTGTCAAAGTCATACCAGCAATTATGGAACAGTTTCCCAATAAATTATGGCACAGGAGGCTGAATGAGTGTGAACATGACTATGATAAATCATTTCAGGGAGAGTGGAAAAAGTCGTGCTGTATATAATGCTGGCATTTTAATGGAGCTTTCTTATTTGTGCAAGATATTCTCACCTAAGAGAATTAGCAGTCAGCAAAAGCTTTGACATTGCCAATTTGCAGGCTCCATGACTAAGTAATTGATAAATGAACAGACTACTGATGCCAGCAATAACCAAAAAACTGGGCTCAGATTTTCGTCGTTGTAGGAACTTTAGCATCATTCATTTTTGTCAAAATCATGGTTAATTTGGACTATTAGATAGAAGAAGGCCCAGGACCAACCTGTTTTATTTAACCCCTGAGCTGAGTGGGGTGGCAGGGCAGTTGTGGTGTCCTTGATAAGGAATACTGTAGAATGGAGCAGCAGCAATTTTTCCTACTGTGGAGCTGTTGCCAAATGTAGAACCCCTGTCACTTCCACTGTCAGGGGATCTCTCTAAGAAAACTAAGAGTCCCCATACAAAGGTGAGCATAAAAACTGCAATTTGGACAGCCTTTTTTGTGGGCCATGCTGGAAAGGGAGATCGTTGTTTTTCATCCCTCGTGAAACTCTGAAAAGGCTAGTCATATTCTGTTGCACAACAAAAAGGAGGAAAACTAACATTGTTTTTAGAAAGTACAGCTGAATATGATAAAATCATATGTTGTGTATTCATTTTGATGGGTGTAAGTCCTTTATAAATATTCCATATTTTATTTATTGACCAAGTATGCAAGTCATACTGCAGACTGTAATACGTTATATATTCTCTGCAATGCGTGGGTAGTAATATTGTGCTGAGAGGGCAGAAAGAAGTAAATACATTATAGGGTTAACAACGTGCAGTTTGGTAAATTGGGGCCTGACCCCCGCCTATTAAACAGGTAGTACAGAAAGAGAGTAATAATAATGAAACTGTGAACAAAGGAGAGATTTTCACGTTACTGACCACCGTCTAAAGGGTAGCTAATACATGATGTGAAGAGGATTTAGCAATGTCTGCTGTTTTAAATGCAAGGATTTCTCTTCTAATGTCTCAATTTTCTTTTTGGTCTTTTAGGGGGGAGAGATGGTCAGCTATTATCTCTTTCTCTCTCTGTTTCTCTTTGTCAGATTGCTGTTTCAACAGATCCTTGGTTCTTTTCCCACACAGCAAACACAAAAGAAGAAAAGATTTAGGTCCTATTGCATTTAGGCTTGTGTGGTCACCCTTCTACTAGGAGAGCATTCATATTTCAAATGACTACTGTCTTTCAGCCGTATGTAAAGAGTGAAAGATAGGGGCTTTGAAGGAAAAAGAAAAAAGATTTTTCCAGAGCAGCAATCATCTGCTTTTCATATTTTAATGTGGTTTTTTTTTTTCTTTCTGCAAGAGCAATACTGACTAATAGGAGAAGGGGTGTACTCAAGGGATGCAGAAAGGGCTGAGTTTTGGCTGAAGAGGTTTACCTGGCCTTGAAATTTAGGAGCAGAACGTGATTCCAAAGTTAAGGCTCTGGTCTTGCCTAGAGGTCTGTGCTGGAAAATGCCTAGTTAGCATTTTATAACCACTATATTTTAATTGTCAAAGTAATCTCCTGAAAGCAGTCTTTCCTAAGGCAGGTATCACCTTTTTGTAGATATAAAGGCTTTAATGATGATGGAAAGATTGAGTCATTTGTCTGCAGTGACCTTACTCCATAAACTAAGGTTTGGTTAACTGGAAGACTATAAAAGAGTTATTGCAGTAGGTGAATCTGGGGGTGAAATGTATGGTACCTGAAAAAAAGGACTAATAAACGTTGTTTGGATATAGGGATGCAGTAGAAATCTAGGCTTCACAGTACTATGCACTGTATTAAGCACGTAATAAAAGGCAGTCACTAGCATAAAGTGCTGATTAGATGGGACAGACATAGACTGGGAGCAGAAAAAGAGAAAGGCGACTTGTCTGTTGTCTCTTTCATCAACTAATGATAAAGCATAATGAGAAGAGATGTGCATAATAGGAAAATATCATGGGTTCTATGCCAATTCTAGAATTTCATGCTTTCAGCTAACATTAAGAAGAGTAAAAGTAGCATTATGAAGGGAAGTCTCTTGGCTAAGAAAACGGCCATCAAGTTTTTCCCAGGGGATAATGAGCTGCAAATTTTTCATAGATGTACTGCAAGGACCATCAAGTTCTGTGAAGCTGAGTTCACATGGGAAATCTGCATGCCACAGCAAGTGGGTGGTGCAGGAGGGAGAATTAAGAAGTGCCAGGAGTGGAGTGCTCAGCTGTGCAGTGTAGAAAGCAAAAGGTACTTGATTTAATGGGTGAGACTCTTGGTCAGGAAATTAATAGGTGAAAGAAATGAGTGAGCAGGGGAGAGAGAACTGGGTGGGCCAAATGCTTCGTGAGGTTGTAAGACATGAAACTAAGAAGCAGGGACTGGTTTGTAGGGAGAACAACTGGCTGAAAAAGTAAGGGCAGAGTAG